GGATTGAACCTGGGTCCTTGCACATGCCAGGCAGGCACTTACACCACTGAGCTATCTCCCCAGCAAGCTATAAACTTGTATGTGTTAATTTACATATTAAAATTATTTAGTTACAAAATCTTACTTTTATAATATAATGGGGAGCCTGGGATGTAACTCAGGGCACAGTGTCTGTCTGGCAAGGGTGAGGTAGTGAGCTTGATTCCCAGTACCAAAATAGTAACAATAACAACAACACTAATAACAATAGTAATAACAATAATAATATAATGGTAATTAAATAAAGCCTAACATCCTACAGTTCCTCATAAGAGTTGTCAATCTTAGCAGGGCTTAACTTTAGAGCCATGAGCAGAGAGTGGAGAAAGCACTTCGACAGGAAGCTGAGGTGAGACGAAACCGGGAGCTGTAACAGATGACTGCCACTCACCTTAGACTCAAGTTCAAGAAGATCAGCATGGCCCATCGCTGGCTCTGAAACCACTTTTTGTAAAAAATGCAATTCCTTTTTCTTGTTCTCTAATTCCTTAGGGAGTTTTTCAGTTACTATATATGAATTAAATTTTATCTCTTCCTCTAGTCTCTTCATTAAACCTTTAAAATAAAATAAACATTCAGCCCAAAAGAGCAGGTACATTGCATACACTGTTTTATACCTAAGACCTAAAAAGCAGGGCATCTCTATTGATAGCATTCCGTATAATATCTAGTACAGTAAAAACAAATGGTCATTGAAATCTTTTTATATTCATGATTATGAAGCATAATTTGCATGGAAAAGCACTTAAATAATTATACAAGAACTGACAGCATCTTTCCAACTTTATAACCTAATTCTTCAACATCTCAGAATATACAGAAACAACTCTTGCAGAGCCAGCGTTGCATCTTGCCTCTTAAGTGTCTAAGAAATCCATCCAAAAGACACTTACATAAAATCTAACATTGGTACTCTTACACAAGTGATCATTTCTTTTGAAATACTTGCAATGCAATTTATATTTTAATTCCTTTTAGTTTTTGAGACAGGGTCTTCTATGTAGTTCAGGCTGCTCCTAAACACACTATGTAGCCTTGGCTAGCCTTGAACTCACAGGGACCCTTTTGCCTCAGCCTCTCCAGGGCTGGGATTACAGGCATACCATGCCCAACTCCAATGCTTTTTTTAACAGTGGTACATTATATAATGTTTAGTTTCAAACCAATAAAGACATTACTAAAGATACAAGAAGTTAAAAAAAGATAAGTAAATTATATTCATAAATATTTTAGGTTTAGTAGCTTTTGTTTTTTAAAGTACAGTATTAGTTTACAGTTAAGTGACAAGTTATTTTTTAAAACTTAATAGTTTTATTTTGGCAGATACACAGCTATACACAGAGATTTTCAGTGAATAATGATTTCATTACAAATTCCTAGCTTAGAGAGCTTTATAAAGTTTATTTCAGATCATTCCATTACACATTACAAATTGTAGCTTGACTTTTTAAAATGCTGGGTTTCCGGTTTAAGTAATTTACGTACGTAGATTGCATAATAAAATATGGCCCAAAGTCTTAAAATTATTTTTAGTTCTGTTGTGTTAACAGAACATATAAAAATTTATTAATGGTAAATTTGCAAAGTTTCCATTTATTTTTTTGAATCGCTCCTTTTTATTTCTAGGATTGAGAAACGGAAGGAAACTGTTTAATGAATCACACCATAATCATGCAAGGTGATTCCTAGGTGGTTTCCAATTTCATACTTTGGAAACTTTGGCAATTAGATGCCTAGCTTTTCTGTCTTCAGGGTCTTAAAGATAGCTTATGTAATCAGATCCATGGAATCAAAACCTAAAATGCTTCTTAAAATATACATTTTTTTCTACATAAAAATGTTTCAAATTTATAAAATATGGGGGCTGGGGATTTAGCTTAGTGGCACAGTGTCTGCCTAGCAAGCATGAGGTCCTGAGTTTGATTCCCAGTACCAAAAAAAAAAAAAAAAAATTAAATTTAGAAAATATAAACTAGCATTCGCTTTGGCAGTACCATAGTGAGTTCAAGGCCAGCCTGGACTACAGCAGCAAGATCCTGTCTCGAAAAAGAAAACAAAAAAGAAAGAAAAGAGAAAAAGAAAATGCAAACTAATCTATAATGATAGCAGATTAATAGTTCCCTGAGGATGAGGAGAAAAGAGTAAAACATTACTAAGCGACACAAGGAAATGCATGGGGCAATGGATGTATTTGTTATCTTTAAAAAATGTTGATGACTTCATCAGTGAATACCTATGTCAAAATTACCAAGTTCACACTTTTTTTTTTCTTTTTGAGGTAAGGTCTCTCTAGGCAGTTTAGGCTGGCTTTGAATTCACTATATAGCCCAGGCTGGCCTGCAGTTTGAGGCCATCCTTTTGCCTCAGTCTCAGTCTTGCAAGTGCTAGATCACAGGCATGTGCTACAGCATATGCTTAATTTTTTTTTTCAAATATATTCTTTCTGTCTCCCTCCCTTCCTTCCCCACCCCTTAGTCAGGGACTCACTATATAGTGCAGCTGGCCTAGAACTCTTGGCAATCCTCCTGCCTCAGCCTCTTGAGTCCTGGGAATGCAAGTGTGTGCTATCATGTCTGGAAGGTATGTACTTTAAATCAGTAACTTTACTAAGTCAGTTTTACCAGGACAAAGGTATTTTAAAATATGTAGAGCGTCCACCAATTTTAAGTTCTCTTAAAAATTTAATTTGGACTCAAACTAGTCATTAATTTCTATGTAGAATTTTTTAAAATATCTTTAAACATTTTGGAGAAATTCAATATAAAGTCACTAACATCACAGCCAACTTTATTATTAACCCCTCTAAAACATCTCACTGACCCTGCATAATTGACTGACCTCGAAACATCACAGATGTGTACAGTCTGTGAAATTATATTAACTTCAGGGAGTGTTTTCTTAATATGGCTATTATTCTACAAAATCATAAACTATGTTGTCACACTAAAACTTTTTTTTTTTTTTTTGCGGAACCAGGGATTGAACTCAGGCCCTTGCACTTGCCAGGGAAGCGCTTCTTCCACTGAACTGTCTCCCCAGCCCCTTAAAACTATTTTTATATTAAGTAAACAGGAAGAAATTTCATAAGCCATTTTTGTTGTAAAAAAATTAGACCTTATTAGGAGCTGGGGAGATAGCTCAGTAGCCTAAGCACCTGCCTGGCAAGTGCAAGGACCCAGGTTCGACCCCTGGTACTGCATGCCTTGCTGCCATCCTGGCCACCAAGACTGGGTGTGGTGGTGCATGCCTGTAATCCCAGTGCTGAGGAGGCTAAGATAGGAGAATCAATACAAATCCGAGCTGTGTAGCAAGATCCTGTACCAAATAAATACATAAAAAGATTTTTAAAAATTAGACCTTATTAAACTCAATGCCTGGACCAAAGCCAGGAATGATGAGGCACGCCTGTGATCCCAGTACTTGGGAGGCTGAGGCAGAAGGACTGTGAGTTCGAGACCAGCTTGGGTTGCAAATTGAGCTCAAGGCCAGCCTGAACTGCACAGCAAGACCCTGTCAAAAGAGAGAGAGAGAGAGAGAGAGAGAGAGAGAGAGAGAGAGAGAGAGAGAGAGAGAAACATCTGCTAATTTATTATTTTTCTACTTTCCTTATGATTTGTTGTTTCGCAACCAGACATTAACAAAGCAAGGATTTCTGACCCTCTTGCTCCTTACTCTCTATCCACAAACTACACAGATCTCACATACAAAATATTATTTTATTTATTTATTTGTTGGCTGGTTGGTTTGTAACAGGGTCTCACTATGCAGCTCAGGCTAGCCTCGACCTTGAGGTGATCCTCCTGCCTCTTCCTCCTGAGTGCTGGAATTATAAGTGTGCACTACCATGCCTAACATAACAAAATCTTATTTTAATCTGCATTTTTCACCACTTTTTCTTACTTGTTTCCCCTCCCGGTGGAAAAATAATTTTTTTTCTATTGAGGGTTAAGACTCAACTTCCAACTCCTTACATAACATTTATTAAAAATAGTTGATATACAGGGCTGGGGAGACAGCTCAGTGGCTTCAGTCCCTGCCCGGCAAGCTAAAGATTGTAAGCTTGGTCCCCAGCACTGAAGAAAAAAAAAAAAAACAATAGTTGTTATACAACTTGCTTATTGATATTAATTTTTAAATGGCAATAACTTAATGGATTTCTTTTGAAGATTCATCTGAACTTTTTATAGGAAAGATGTGAAGGAACCTTGTATCAATTCCAAAGAACATAAAGTATAAACATATTATTTTAGAGTATTATTTTTAAATTATAGAAAAAATTCTCTTGTGTTAAAAACATTCTCCTAAAAAGTAAAGACTCAGTTAGTCAAGTGATACCAACAATCACAAGCACATCTACTTCCAGACAGTGCTGGCGTCAGAATTTATGAGAAGGGAATGAGAGACTGTGTAGAAAGTTACAATTTAACATACATTAACCACTCATCTTGTAAGGAGCATTGTGGTACCGGGTTTCCCACATACCAAGCACATATCTTTTTTCTTTCTTTTTTTTCTTTTTTTTTTGGCGAAACCGGGGATTGAACTCAGACCCTTGCGCTTGCCAGGGAAGCGCTTATTCCACTGAGCCATCTCCCAGGTCCCCCCAAGCACATACCTTATTTTCCTGATTTTTAAAGATGTCATCAATTACAAGATACTATCAACTAAGTTACAAATACCACATTAAAATGTAAGCTATAGGGGGCCTGCCCCTTAGCTCAGTTCTTTAAGTGGCTGCTTCAACAAAGCAGTCAGGCTCAGGTTGCTGTGGTTCGATCCCCACAACACAAGACAGCCAGTCATGCCTTGAAGGCATTCGGCGCAAAAAAAAAAAAAAAACAAAAACACTTCTGCCATTTAAAATGTAAGCTATACCCCAAATGCAAAACCAATAGGAGTAGGAATAGGAATATGAAAAAACATTAATGTCTAGAATTACGAAAATAGTCTTAGCTCTTTTAGCAGCTGCATTGAGATAGAATTTTCACATCACAAAATTCACTCATTTAAGTGTTTAATTCAGGTGCACCCCTGTAATCGCAGCACTAGGGATGCTGAAGCAGGAGGATCACTGCAAGTTCAAAGCCAGCCTGAACTATGTAGTGAGACCGTATTGCAAATAACAAACATACAAAAAAAAAAAAAAAAAAATTCTGTGGTTTTTTAGACTATTCACAATCGTACCATCATCACAATCAGTTTTAGAGCATTGTCATCAGTCCCCCCAAACTCCCAAAACTCATTAGCAGCTACTTTCCAACACCAGCTCCCTGTCCACACAGCTGTCCTCCCGGCCCTGGGCAACCATGCGTTTGATTTCTGTTTCTATGGTTTTGCTTCTTGGACACTTCCACTGAGCGTGCCCTTCAGGTCTGTCTGCTTCGTCCTAAGCGAGCTGGCACTTCATCCTCTTGGTGGCAGAATAATACTCCACTGTGTGGACATGCCACATTCTGTTAAGTCTGCTGATCAGTTTAAGGACATGCACTGCTTCTACTTGTCGACCATTACGAGTAACGCTGTGAACGCTGATGCCCAAGTGTCTGTGAGGACACGTGTTCTCAGTTCTCTCGGACATATACTTAAGAGTGGAGAAGCTGGCTCCTATGGTAACAAATGTCATGCTATGTTTAACAAAGTACTTTCCAAAGCAACTGCATTATTTAACATTCCCATAGGCAACATATGAAGGTACCATTTCTCCACACTCTTTTCAACATTTAGAATTATCTGTCATTTTTATTACAGTCATTTTATGCATCATATAATACGTGCCAGGTTACCATAGGAAAATGGATCAACTATCAGCCAAAAATACATATTTTTTAATTTACTAGATACAGGGTCTCACCGTGTAGTTCAGATTCATAGTGACCCTCCTGTCTCAGACTCCCTAGTGCTGGGATTATAGGTGTGTGCCACCACGCCCAGTTTCAGGCTGGCATGGCACACCTGGGGTCCTGGGGTGGCATGGCATGCAGTACTGGGGACCAAACCTGGGTCCTTGTGCTTGCCAGGCAGGCACTTAAACCACCGAGCTATCTTCCCAGCCTCAGGTAGACATTTACATGTAAGATTTCTCCAATACAAATGATATCTTTGTACTGCTCTTCCAGTTTGCATGGTCTCCTTTCTGGCAAGTAAACCACTTTTTTTTTTTTTTTGGTGGAAGTGGGGATTGAACTCAGACCCTTGCGCTTGCCAGGGAAGCGCTTATCCTACTGAGCCATGTCCCCGGCCCCAAGTAAACCACTTTTAAAACATCTATGGTGGGTTTGCTAGTGTAACCTGTGCTAGCAGGTGTGTTCATCTTCATGTAAAGCCAAGTATGAAAAGAGCCAGATAAACCCCCATCAGTTAGATTATGACATACCCATATTATTCTACAAAACAAACTATGAAAAACACACAGAATTAAGGGTCCCATAGTGTTATCATTTATGTGGAGCTGTCCCCTCAAAGCCCCATGCAGTCATAGGTGAGGCTATTTTTTTTTTTTTTTTAATCTAATGTATTTGGTTGTTGCAAGGTCTCTTCCTGCTTTCAGCCTCTCCAGCGCTGGGATTACAGGCGTGCACCACTACGCCTGGACTCTGGCCTGGCTCAGCCTGCCCTGGGGGTGGGGCTGGCACAGCACAGCATATGGTGCCAGGGCGGTCCCTGCGCTTACCTAAACTTGCCTAAGCAGGCGCTGTAGTCCGGCCCATAGGTGGGACTTTTCTGAGTGGCTGAATCTAGTGTGTGATGCTAGGATTAAGGATGGGATCGGTTCACTGATTGGTTTGGTACCACTCTAACCCAGCAGTTTAGGTAGCGTATAAAAGGGGTAGAAATATGCTGTTTAGGACAGTTGTTGCTTTTGCTGCCTTCTGTCCACCACGAACTATTCTCTCTGCCCTGCCACCCTGCCCTGAAGGCAGCTGAGTATGGACTAAAACCTCCACAAACTTTGAGCTAAATAAACCTTTCCTTACTTAACTTTGGGCATTGGGTATTTTGTTTCAACAATGAGAAAAACAACCAACATACAAATTTTACTATTTTCTTTATAACCTTGACTCTAAGGCAGCAAGTCACATTTTCTTCCACAACACCCACCCTAAGCACTCTTATAGGACCACACAGCAGACAGCCTCCCGGCATAGTCACTAGCATTACCGTGCCCTTAGGAGGGAAAACCTGGGGAGGAGCTTGTTTGAAAATTCACAGATGTCTTAGCCAGAGCTCCATTCACCACCTGTGAAATAGTGCTCCAAACCTTTGCTATATCACTGGATAATAATAAAGTCCATTAATTGATTGCTTTAAGGAATTTCCTAATTCAGTTTTTTTTTTTTTTTTTTGTACCTGGAATCAAACTCAGGACCTTGCCCTCACCAGGCAGATGTTTGTGCTGCTGAGCTATATATCCGATCCTGGATTAAATTTTTTTTCCCCCAGTGCTGGAGGTCAAACTTAAGACCTTCTGCTTGCCAGGCTGGATTATTATTATTATTTTTTTTTTTTTGGCGGAACCAGGGATTGAACTCAGGCCCTTGAGCTTGCCAGGGAAGTGCTTAGTCCACTGAGCCATCTCCCCAGCCCCTTGGATTAATATTTTCTAAGCACCGGGCTGGTGAGATGGCTCAGTGGTCTAAAGCACCTACTTAGAATAAGCTTAGCAAAGCAAAGGGACCGCGGTTCAATCCCCCAGCACCACATGCCAGCCAGCCCCGCCCCCTGGTGGGCTGAGCTGGCCACACA